AACTTACAGTGACAAACTTCCTAAGACAATTTTAATGTTTTTCTTTTGTGTTTCTTAATTTTCAGAATATCTAAATTTATGCACTCCAGAAATCTGTAGCGAAATTAAAATTAATATTTCTGAGAGAGAGTCTACTTTGTGGCGATTCTTTGTCCTAAGAATTCTTTACCTTTGAAGTATAGTATTTTTTAGTGTGCTGTAGTTTAGTACAACTTTTAGTGTGTTGGTTGTGATTCATACTATGTATTAATACTTGTATATACTCGAAACATATGCTTTTTTTGGAGTAATGGATTGCACAGACTCTCTCTTTTTTGTTCATTTTATTGTTGCAACATGTTTAATTCTTATGTAGTGGTGTGATGATGTGGGAGTGTGAGGAGCTGTATATAGTCCTTATTTATTTTAAATATTGTCCTCATTCATTTCTGTAGTCTTTATTATGTTGCACATTGTCCTTATTTATTTTGGTAATAACCATGGTTTCTTACTGATCCTGTGACTCAATTATTTTAATGCATGTTATATATTAGTGCATATTTCCCACTAAACATATATTATAAAACTCTATTAATATACGTCTTCAACATATTAAACATGTTTTGGATATAAGAAACACAATTAATTCAAATAGACTCATGAATTCTGTGAGTTTTTATGAGCAAAAATTTATAATTTTACGTGTGATATAGTGCAGAATATCAAAAACAAGGATGTGCAAGTTGTCAAAATATAAAATCTTTAAATGAAAGGAAAAAATACTTTTTTGAGGACTTAAATACATTTAACAAATGGCATTTGGAGAAGATGATTTTACTGGTTGAAATCTGAATAACTAAATACTGAAAATTTATAAAACATCTTAAATTGTTTAACCCTTTCAATCCCAATTTATTTGTTTCAACTGACTTGATTTTTTTTATGCCTTCTTGGTAATTATCACAAATGACACAAATCACACTAACAGAAATTGACAGTCTGTCACTAAGCCTCTATAAGAAGATGCGCGCAACAATTTTGTAATGGGGATGTTAAAAATGATGCCTGCTACCAGTGGGACATCAACTATGTAGTAAATTAATGCGTTTAATTCTCTCTAGGTTTCTTTAAACATCTACTGGGACTTAACCCATTGGGACTGAAAGGGTTAAGGGAGAGACTTAAATGCTGTATTTCACCGCACTTAAAATTTTCAGAATATTGATTTATGAGTTTTTTACAAAAGTTCATTTTTTAATAAATGATTACATTTCATATTCAGTTATTCATAAAATGAAATTTTTTTCTTTCATTAATAGTGGTAGTATATATTTGTTTCGAAAGAGAAGTGAGAATTAGGATTTGCCTGGGAATTGTAGCAATCTGTATGCAAGATGAAAGCAATTAAGAACTTTTCGGGAAACTAACGCTTGAAGGTCTTAGTTTTGAGTATTGAGTTGAAAAACAAGCTAAGTGGCTGAACTCAGGGGAGGGCGGATGAATTACAGCTATTTATACTATTGGGGAGAGTCAACCATTAGTTAACATCCGTGAGAACGGGTGTTTCGTTCAAGCCTTACTCCAGGGTTCCTGTCCCCTCTGGCCGCTGAAGGCTATTTGGTTAATAAAAGACAGCTGAAAATTTCGGTCATTACTGATGATGGTCCATGTACAGACAGAAATAGCATTTCTTAACTTCTTAGTATTTGTGTGTTTTACATCTACCATGCAGTTTAAAAAAGAGAACCCAGAAAAGTTTAGAGTTCAAACGTGTTTAGATCGCCCTTCCTTGTTTTTGTTTTTGAAAAAAGGCCCTTTGCCTCTTTTGCATATAAGTATTCATACATACAGATTTATTTAATTAATATATAATTTCATCAATGAATTATATTAAAAATATAGATTTAATTAACATTTTTTTTTCCTTTCTTTTTTGGCCTAAAGTTCAACGATACGAATAATGAATAATCCAAAATTTTAAACTTTTTCCAATAAAATTACATATCTACGTAGTTCGATTAAGGAGGCGAAACTCTACGATTATACGTATGATAAAAACATCATAAATTCAAACTTTGTCGCTGAGAATGGAAAATATTTAAAATCTGAGGAACAAGATTTTCCAAAATTAAATAATTTTTTTAATTATATAAACTTTAAGCAGTGTCTTTTCAGAACTGTGCATTATGCATTTATTTTTTTTTTTTTTTAAATTTCTTTATTATTAAATACTTCTTCAGACCAATAAGAGAAATATATACAAATTTTCCCGAAATATGTTTTAATCTGTCAAAACAACTTTAAAAATTTGGTGTCCGGTCTTTAAACACAAAAATTATAAAATTTCCTTTTACGATTTAATGTATTTAAGGAATAAAACTTTAGTTTATGTAAATAATGAGAATAATATAAATACGAAGAAATGAAAAAATATAAGTGCTTTACAAGTAAATGAAATTGGTATAATGCTTTTAAAAGTACTGTGGTTTTTTTTTTTTTTTTTTTTTTTTTTTTTTTTCCAGTTCCGCTTTCCGAAATGTTTCATTAATTCCCCTTTGCTTCCGATTGCTCAACAAACGCCCACACGACTGTCTTTCTTTATGTCTCGTGTTCACAACGTCTGTTCCTGTACGATTAAATCTACATAATAACAGGACCGAGTAATTCTAATTAAATTAAAAATGTAATCTTAATTATCTAATTAATCTTAATTCTAAATTAAAATGTAATCTTTAAAAAAAAATTATACAAAATAAAATTTAGAATTGTACACAGCCCCTTAAAGAATAAAATATCATATATTTCACATCTACGGCCTAGAAACAGCATCTACAGCTTTACGGACTGGGAATATCATTTTACGGATTATTATTAACTAGGAGTATGATATACGGCTTTACTAATTGGGAATATGATTTGGCCTTTACGACGAACTGTTAAAAAAATAATCGACGTAACGTCTACATTGATAAGCATAATGCACAATGTTCCAAAGACCTAGTTTAAATTTATATGTGATTATCCACATAACACAATCGTATGATTAATTCTATTCACTTTAAGTATCTTTTATAGAATATTTCACATTTAGTACATTTGTATAACATATTTCATTAAATGTAAGGCAACTTTCTTATGTAAAAGCTAAATAATGTTCATTAATTTTAAAAGTTATATAAACTTGTGGTGATATTTATGATATGACACTAAATAGTTTGCTATAAGATTTGGAAAAATAAGAAAATAGCCATACATTTTCTAGAAACATTTAATTTTTTTCTGGAAACATGTTTACTGGAACATTTTTTCCACGATAATTTTTCAGGGACATTTTTTTAACACCGTGCGTAATAACACTGCGTAATAACAGTACCGTGTGCAATAAATTTTCGTAATGATAATTTTTTATGAAATAATACAGTTGTCCATTTATCCGCACTTCCTGTTATCTGAGGTAATCCACATTACCTTAAATGATTGAATTCCACACATATGATAAGAAAACCTAATTAAACAAAACTTAATTAAAAGACTTAATTACTAAAAAACCTACATAAAATATTTATCATCAGGACAGAGAATAATGCATATTAATTAATTTTCAGGTTTAAATAACACTGTCTTTCATGTTATTTTTTCCCGTGCAATTCCCGTCTGAGTTATTTATTCTAGCTGAGTACTTCTTTCTCTTCATCATTGTCTCGGTCCTGTTATTATGTAAGAAGTATTTAAATTCTTTATAAAAATGCACTAAAAATAAAAATTGTTAGCAAATAAACGCATTGCACAATTTACATACTACATTTACATATAAATATATATGTAAACAACATGTCTAGAATTTAATTGCACACTTTCGACACGTACATTTCGTTTCCATAAAGAGTGTAATCTCTTATCATATGTTTCTATGTTTACACAATAGGCTAGGTTGTTTAAATATGGCAAGGCACACAAAGGCTATCAAGCTTAGAGAAAGGATGCCTGCGATGAGGGCTTTCTCGATACCAACCACGAAGCCAGCCTCTTTGCCTGAAATGGCACTGCGTTCAAACTCCTAGCATTCAGCGATTTTAACCATTCGACCACTAATAGGGGTCATGATTACAGTAAGATTAAAGATTATAATTTATAAATTCGAATGCTTTGCGAAACGTTTGTTCATCAAAATAATCAAAAAACAATTAAAAAAATGAAATTCAAAATGCAGAGTGAAGAATCTTAAGTTTCTCATAAGTTTATAAATATATATAGTATCTGTGATACTATATAAAATATATAGATAGAGATTATAAATAGAGACTCAATATTATAAGACATCTCTATAACTAAAACTTGGATGTTGGATTGCTGTATTTTTTACTCTTTTTATTTTAATTCTACACAGATATTTTTATTCTAACTAGACTCATCTCTCTTTTCTATCTTCATTTTACTTCTAATTGTTTATCATAAAATTTCAGTCTAATTATTTTAAGATTCAATTACTATCTGATATTTGATTTAAAGATCTTTTTCTTTGGGTTTGAACCATTTTAAAATAATTAAATAATTTATTCCGATTTCAAAACTCTGTTTACTAGCTTTTCTCAGTAAAGATGCTAATATTCGTTACCTGAAAGGAACCTCGAGTTTAATTTTTATTAAATTTTTAATCTGTTCCAGCACTATATACAAAAACTGCTCATTAGTTTTAAACTAGCAATAATGATTCCAGATACACTAAAAATAAATCAAATTGTAAATTGCTTAGCTGACATTTTTCAGTTCACAGAAATTTTCCTGGTGTTCAACTACTAATAAACATATACTAACTGTGTTCAATAATGGAACACCTGCTTATTTTTACTTAACAAACTGTAAAACGTCATTTGAGCCTGAAGGGGAAACAGGTGGCTCCTGCCTCGAGAAAACCATTGTTTGACAATTAGGTAAATAATGTATGTCTGATGCTCCAAGTCTTAGTTGTACCTGAAACTCGGAAACTTAACTTAACTGCATTTTCTGTCAGAGAAGCCAACATGCCGTTACACTATATCATCAGCCAAAAGAACCGTAAACAACTTATGGTGAAAGGATACATCTATAATTTTGAACGTGCTAGTGCTGAGAAAAGTATTTGGAAATGTGTAGAGTATTTTACTTGTAAGTGCAAAGGGCGAATTCACACTCAAGATGATAATATCATTCTTGAAAAATCTCACGGGCATCCTCCAAATGCTGGCAAAATTACAGCGAAAGAGATTATGAGTTCAATTAAAGAGCGTGCGGTAACAACGCAAGAATCGACACATTCTTTAGCAGCAGTTGGTACAATTGGTCTTCCTTGTGCTGTTTCGGGGCATATACCACCAGTGGAAAATATTAAAAAAATTATCAGATATGCTCGACACGGAGAAATGCCATTGCATAATCCTAGATGTCTTGAAGAATTAGTAATCCCAGAACAGTTTTCAAAAACACTAAAAGAAGAGAAATTTTTGCTGTATGACAGTGGAGTGCAGACAGACAGAATTCTAATTTTTTCGACCCTCAGAAATCTGGACTTCATGGCTGAATGTCCGAACTGGTTTGCTGATGGAACTTTTAAAGCAACACCACCGCTTTTCAGTCAGATTTATACAATCCATGGTGTTAAATATGATAATGTGATACCTTCAGTGTATGTATTAATGCCAAACAAACGCGAAGAAACATACAATAGAGTGTTTACGGTGATAAAATCTTTGAAACCGAATCTGCAGCCCAAAACTGTAATGACTGATTTTGAAAAGGCTGCCATAAATGCCTTTAAAAATTCCTTTCCGAATATCATTCAGAGAGGATGTTTTTTTCATTTAAGTCAGTGTGTGTATAGAAAGATTCAGTCTGCAGGTTTGCAAAGTAAATATGAAACTGATCCGAATTTCGTTTTGGAAATCTCTCAACTTGCAGCTTTGGCTTTCGTTCCTACTTCAGATGTCATTGAAGCATTTGAACAATTAATATCATCTACTTATTTTGTAAATAATATGAACATCATTCAGCCAATCATAAATTATTTTGAAGACACATGGATTGGTAGATTTACTCGTCGTGGACAACGTCGCAGACCAGTGTTTGACATCTCTCTTTGGAACTGTTATGATGCTGTAAAAGATAAAGTTCCAAGGACAAATAATGCGGTTGAAGGATGGCATCGCAGATTCAACGAACTTATGAACGGATGCCATCCAACAATCTGGAAATTTATTGATTGCTTAAAAAAGGAACAAAATTTAAATTCTATAAAAATTGAACAATACATTGCAGGTCACCATCCACCAGTAAGTAGAAAAGTTTACAGAGATACATCTCTCAGAATTCAAAAGATTGTAAATGATTATAATGATCGGCCTATTTTAGACTATTTAAGGGGAATAGCCTACAATTTTCAACTGCAGGTGTAAATTTTTTATACATTAATTAATGAGGATGTTTAATGTCTGATATAATTATACATGTTTTTATTACTACAGCTTTAACATGAGTCGTAATTACATTATATTTTCTGAAAAATATTAGGCGAACTTTTATGCTCTTAGAGTTGATATTTACAATTATACTAGCTTTCATGAATATGTGAATGATATGATTTTATGATATTTTTATTACTAGCCTTTTATATATGTGTTTATTTTTAAGCCTCTATAATGTGTTTTATTTAAGCCTCTTTGGTATACACTCTTTGGTAGTATAAATCAAATTTTATTTCATCAGAGAAATTATGAACGACAAATGATGATGCCTTGTTCGTTTAAATATCATTTATTAACTGAAACGGTAGGCGAAGCTAAAATTTATTGGAGATTTGGTATTAACAATAACGATATTTTTGAAAAATTCCTATCAATTAAAATTTTATTTCGTTTCATTTTTCATTTTTCATTAATTCATGTTTGTGTGAGAAAAGGACTTTAGAGTATTTGTTTACAGTGGATAAATTTTTAGCTTAATAAGCTATCTATATTTTAATAAAATTCAGTAAATTCAATACCATTGTGGATGCATATAAGACGAAATTTTCAATTTCTATTCCTTTCTGAAATCATCCTGATCAGGCAGCTTAATATTAAAGAATACGTTTAAGAGTATTTTTTAACTCGTAAAGCAATGGGAGATATATTTACTTAATTTTATCTCGGATAATAGATATAAGATCACAGATAATAAGATTAGACTTTTAATGGCTTTTCTTGTAACTTACTTTGATATATCAAACTTATATACGTGGGCACATCTTATATGTAAGCCCCTTTTGTCTTTCTGAAAGATTCTTAAAAGACAAAACTTTTTCATATATGACACCATTATGTTTTGAGACAATACGGTATTTTATTGCGTATTTCTGTATATTTAAAAGGGGGAAAATTTGAAAACTGAGGTAAGAGATTTGCTTTTAAATCCCTAGTCATTTCAATTTTGATCAATACTGATTATATAACATAATTTTAAAAATAATTTATTATATGACAGTAATGTAAATTTAACGTTAAAAATCCTTAACAGCAGTTTTTCATTTGCTAAATATAGAATGATATATAAATGGAAGTTTTATTTGATAAATATGAAAGGTATTTTAGAGAGTTTCATGTTTTTCTGCAATGGGTAACACTATAAACATCGGTCTTTTGCTACAAAAATACATTCTCAAAATATGCTTATGGTTTTCCATGTATAGCTTATTCGCAAATATTTATGAAGCAATATTAAATATTAGTTCTAACTTAGGCGGAAATTTCTGCTATGTTTACAGTTTTCTCGTTTTCTCGCGCTCCTAATTTTTTAAATGTATACAATGAAGTATTTATTATTTAATTAATTTTTTATAACTGCATTAATAGATGGTACATTATTTGCAAAGTTTTGACATGATATCACCTTTTTTACGAAATGAAGGAAAGTAAAATTATTGTTTATTCTTAAGCTACAAATTTTGAACAAGGCTGACATATCTACGCTAAATTTTATAATGGTGCCATAAATATTTTTCATTATTCAATAACAACTATAAATTTTTATAATTACTTAAAAATCGTAAAAGAGTGGATTATAAAGCACTGTGTTTAGAATAAAAAATATAAAAATATTATTAAAAATAAAAATTTAATAAAATATTCTCTTATATGCTGATAAAAAGCAAAAATTTATAAAAGTTTAATTAAATTTAAATTTTAAAATTAAAATATGAAATTTAATATTGCATAACACAATAATATAGCATTAATATATATAAGTACTTTGTATACAGTATATCATATATTTCATATCATATTCATATTTAATATTACATTTGATTGAAGAACAAATAATAATAAATTAAACAAGTAAAAAGTAAAAAGTTAATTAAAAATTCAAACAAATAAATGATTAATTAAACTAATATAATTCTGAGAGCAAAAAATTTTTTTAATCCAAAAATAAAAAAAAATTTTAAAATGTATAAGTGAATAATTGTTGAGCAGGCAGGAGACAAACTTATCAAGGGAAGTTGCCTCCAAACCTAACTCTTCAATTATTCAATTCGTGTTTCGTCATCCATGTATTCAGAATTTAAATGATATTGCAGATTAGTTCGCAGCAATAATTAATCATTCATTTGTTTACAATTAAATTTCATAATTTAAAATTTAATTAACTTTTTACGAATAGAGAATGTTTTCAAATTTCATTACAATGCGCAATAGAGAATTATTTAAATTTAATTTAACTGTTTATTAAAAGTAAAACTATATATTTAACTAAAATATTTATTCTTTTTAATTAAAATAAAAATGTATTTTTTATTCACGAGAGATGCCTTTGACAAGAATTTTTATGTCTGTTATGGAACTTGAAGGGCATCAAAAGAACTTTTGAAATTTGCACTGAGATTGAACTTATTGAGATCTGTAGTTTTCAAAGCTTTATTTTTTTTATATGAGATAAGGTTGGTTTGTGTAAAAAAAAAAAAAAAAAAAAAAAATCTAAAATGAGAAAAGATATATATATTTTTTTTTTACTTTTCAAACGAAAATATCAAATGCTCCTCAGCTGACTACCTCCTATCCAACCTTTTTCACATTTTAAATGATTTTTAAAATTATTTGGATGATTACTCCAGGAACCAAACCTTTTTTAGTAAGATCGGTCAAAAGTACGCAATTTGTCTAGTAATTTAATGAAAAAAAAAAAAAAAAGAAAAAAGAAAGACATGAAAGAAAAATAAGATATTTACACCAGTTTTTTTTTAAATAATATTGTAATTATTTAGTAAAATCATATCTTCTTCTATAATGCATACCACATTACTTCATTTTGTTTAAATTGTAGAAGATATTAAAGTTAAGTAAAAATTTCAAATTACCTTCGAATGCCACTTCCAGATACTTTTACAGCAGGTAAACTAAAGGTTAACATTTCTAGTCCCCTCTCCTGAAATTAAGCTCAAACTCTATACATAACTGTAAATAAATTAAATGAATATTGTAGAAAAAGTAGAAATCTTCTTCATTAAAATTTCTGAATTTATGTGTTCATTGATACTGGACTATCAAAAATGCAAATTGTGTGTCTTTCAAATTGCAAATTCATAGATATGCAAGAAATTCATATTATATTTAATTGTAGGGAGTTATGAAACTAGCATTATTTTCAGTATAAAGACCTACATTCATTTAAGTCAATCAGAGTTTTACGTCTGCTTTCTAAACATTTGTCAATAAAATAAATATAACTCAAATATTTTTATATACAAATCAGAAAGACCTTACACAAAGATATAACCAGATAGCCATTATCTATACTGTTTTAATGATTTGAAGCATCATAATATGCATTTTTGTAAGACTCATTTGATAACACTGTAGTTAGCTAGGTCATTAGTGAAACAATCATAGATGACTCAATGCTAAAGAAAAAGATGCAAGAATTCTGAATACAGTTGAGAAAATTCATAATTATCTGATTGTTTTATAATTCTACATTTCCTATGAGCTATAATTTTTATTGCAATTCTTACCCATTACAATTAGGAATATATTAATCCTAGAAGCATTTGACATTCATTTAAAAGAAATTCAAAACAATTTAGAGAAACTACTATTTTCTACTTTTATATATGTATTAGTTTTCAATAACAAGAGGATTTCCCAAAAATTTTGGTCCAGTTTAATGCAAAATTAGAGCACAAAATTTAAATCATATTTTTCGTATCAAAATCCCTAGTGCTAAATATCCATAAAAATATTCAATTCATTTTTGATGATGAAACTGAAACATTCGAAGTTTATTGCAAAAGTTGCCTTCAAGAAGCAAAATGATTGTGTCACAGTATCAATGCGAATTCGTAAATATTACTAAAATGCATTACTATAATATGTAATATAATAAGGACTAGTAAATACGGACACAATACAAAACGAATAAGGACTATATGTAGTCCTCTTAACACGCACCATCACCACTACACTTTATATAAAATTAGTCATATTTTAACAATAAAACGAAAAAAAAAATTTTTTTTTTGAGCAATCCAGCACTCAAAAAAGCATGTGATTCGATTTTATACAAGTATATAGTATGAATCATAGCCAACATGCTAATTAAGCCTTACGTGAATATTAAAAAGAACACATATCGAAGTATAAAAAAAATGGCTAACTCCATGAAGTTATAAACTTATATGCAACATTTTGTTCTTTTTGTTACATGCAGATGCAATAATGAACATCGTAGTAGAGTTTTTATGGCTGGGAAAAGAGATAGAGAAGCTTTTTTTCCCTCCCTGTGAAGTGTAAGAGGAAGAAAATGTTTAACGTTGAGGTAAAGAAATCCAGATAAGCAATTAGTATATTTGTTGTTTACAGTGGTGTACATAGATAAACTGAATTCTACATTTACCTAATAACACACCTCTCATTGACTTAGCTATTTCACAGTATATCTTTGCTTATTATTGTGAACTGAGAAACTAAAACTACAGTTAATTACAGATGAAAAAAAAACAATAAGATTTGTAAAATTATTAAAACAAAAAGATAATTTTGTTTGATTTAAAACGTAAACCATGGAAATTAACATGCCTTCTTTCAAGATATCTTTTTCCAATAGTTTAATGCCTAGACGCACTAAATACTTTCATTTTTTTTTTTTTTTTTTTTAAACAATTTCTTTCTGGATACTTTAATTAAAAAATAATCATGCACGAAGCGAACCCGGATTTTAAAATTTAATTATGATTGATATTCAAAATCATATGTTTCTAAAGCATATAATATGATTCATAAAAATGTTATATTTTCTTATTCCAAATAATTTGTCATATAAATACAAAAAGAAATTGTACTTGAAACGTTTCAGTCAGTGAAAAGAAAAGACAATATAAAATATGTACAGTTTTTATCCTTGAAATCTATATAAAGGAAATTCG